CAGGGGAGCAGTGAACCACAATGGCAGAGGCAGCAACTGGAGTTGGAATAGGGCTCCAACCAATCAAGCTGGTGACCCATAAGTTGCTTGCTTGGTGGGAGGAAGTTAAATTGAACAGCTTTTAGCTGTGTTCCTATGGAAGATGTTTACAGCATTAATTTGTTGGGGGCAGATTGTTCCCTACACAGAAATAATCTGAGCTGGGGCTGGAGACCCCGTGAGGTTCCCCAGCATCATAGGAAGAAGTTGCCTCTCTGCGGAACTAGCAGAGAATTTGATCTCCCGTAGACCAACAGCTCCTTTGCTTCCATGCTAGCATCCAGCTCCCTCTGACGCCAGAATCCCCAGGCAAGGGCCCCAATCATAAAAGCAGAGGGTGCCTAAGTTACTACTGGCCCAGTTCTATGCCCTATTTTGCCATTGATTCCCCTTGTAACTTTGGGCAAATCAGTCTGTGCCTCAGTTTCCCCAGCCAGGAGGCTAGCACTCACCAAGGTGGGGAAGTGCCTTGAGAGGCTCAAGTGAAAGGCACTATTTGCATGTGCAAAGCATTCTCAGCCTACTGGACTGAGCCCAGAGCCTCCAGCAAGGATATCAGGTTAGAAAAAGAGCCGGAGCAAGGTGCTGTGTGACAGGAGAAGGCTGCAGTCCCCATAAAGCCGGGGCATTCGCTAAGACAGTGTCACCGCTGATGCTAATACCACCGCCACACTGGCCCAAGATTAAATTTAGTCCCAAGTGGCTCAAAAGATAATAAGTGGCTCGTAGGGGGCGAGACACCTAGTAAGGACAGGCCAGCCAGCTGGCTGCCAAGGAGGGCCATCCGATGACATCGCTGTCTGTTCTGAGAATCTGCCAGCTGGAGGAATGGAGCGTGGAGGCTGGAGAAAGATAGACGGCATAACTGGTGAGCTCCAAACCTGCCTGGCTTTGTGATGCAGGATAGGGTTACCGTCCTGCTACAGTGTTTAGAACTTGCAGCAGCTGAAGTTCTAGCCTCCAACTATGTGAAATGCAACCCAAGCGAGGGGGTGCATGTCCTCTCGCTCCAAATGGGGCTGGGCCATCACCCCTGGAGCGGGCGGTCCAGGTTGGGCATGCCTGTTGCCCCTTGTCCACCTGTCCTGGAAGATGGAGTCCACAGCTGAAGGAAGCTTTAGTCAGACATTCTTTCTCTCCCAAATGAAGGGTCTAATTATGCTCCTCGATTTGTGTGAAATGTTTTCGGAGGTCTTCGGCCAAAGCAAACAGGAGAAATAGCTGACTTGTGATGCAATGGCATTGCTGATTAGATGAGGACATCCACTTAATGAGCCCTGGTCAAATTTCCACTGTGTTTAGTAACAAGTGGCAGTAACAGATACGTCTACGTTTTTAACACCACGATTATTAGATTTTCCATCCGCGATGAATGCAGAGACAGATCAGCTGCTAAGACTTCTCTCAGCCGAATAAACTCCTGAGTCTTTCGATGCTCTTCAGTGTCATCTCTGAGCAGAGAAATCAAATGGATTCTTTCTACACGTTCAAGTCTTGGCATTGTTCTCCCACGCAGAGTTTGCCGCTGAGCATGCCAAAGGACTTCTCCGTTCTGCTTGTAAGCTACAGTGGGCATATGACACCCCAGCCCTGATTCTCTCCTCCTTTCCTCAGTGGTGTAAATCAGGAGTAACTCCATTTTCTTCTGCGGTGTTGCACCAGTGTGAGGAATGATTTTATTATGTATTTGTATGACAGCAGCACCTAGGGGCCCCCATCGTGCTAGGCACTGTATGTGCTCATAGTAAAAGACAGTCCCTGCCCTGAAAGACAGCCATAAGAGTGACCCACCCCTCAAACGATCCTCACACTGGTGACCCTCCATAAACCAGTGCTGGAGTGAAGGCAGCATTGCCGGCGACCAGCTCACATCTGTCATAATGAAAGGTCCGTTGACTATCCAACAGTGGATCTGCAGTCTGTACTGTGGCCTTGTGAGACCTATCCTGCCCCATCTGTTCTCCTGCCGGACGAGGCGTGTTCGTATTCCATAGCATGATAACTAGTGACAAGACTGGCTTAATTTTCACAGCTAATGAGCAACCCCAGCTCCTAGGTAGGTCAATGTGCCTGCAAATGCTCTGCACCTTTGAACATCAGGCCCAAAGTGCCTGTACTGCTTTGAGATCAGTTTAGTTAGACCTTCCGATTGCTTCCCAGTGCTCACTCTGCATCTGAGCTGCGTGGTCTCTGCAGTCTAGATTGTAGGCTCCTCGGGCAGGGACTGCCTTCTCTTCTCTGTTTCCTGTCACTCACATGGGATCCATAACTGATCATTCCAACAAGGCCAAGCTGAAGAAGGCAAGAGATGAGGCAGCCCTGATGCCTATCATGACTTAGATCAATTAGCCTGGCAGACTATTAGCAATCCCAGGGGGTGATGTGTTAAGGTGGAAGAGGTTCTAAAAGTAACGGTTGCCAATGCACAGGACAGAGCCCCATGGCCCCTTGGCATTGCTTTCTCTGCCCGGAAGGAAACAGGGCACGCCAGCTCCTGGTCACCTCTCTATCATGCAAAGGGCACCTTGTGTTAGCGACCCTGGATTGGGAGTGGGTATGTAACAGTGGGAATGGAGTGCTGTCATCTGCAGGCAGGGCAAAGGGTTTGAAGCCGAGTCACCGACAGTGCCCCGGGGCTGGAGTTGGGGCACAGCTGTGGAATGGGATGCGTCTTGGGACGAGGGAAACAGGATCTTGATTGAAAAGGGAAAAGTGCCTGAAATGCCTCTGGAGGGCAGAGCTATGCGGAGAGCACAGAGTAGCAGGTCTCCCCCATCTGCCGTCTTGTGACCTCTCCCCCCATATCCTTTTACCAGTGGGACAGGTTCTAACACGCCTGTCCACAGGGCCTGCAGGAGTGACTCTGAATTCTATCTGCCACTTAAAAGGGAGAACTCTCAAATTCAGCACATCTAAGGAGATGGGGAAATTCTGTCCCCCCCGGAAGACGCACTGTTTACGTGTTAATGTAGCCGCAGCTTCTCCAAGTTGGAAAGTGAAATATTAAGAAGCCAGGCAAAGTCATGGGGCCAGGTCTTTGCTTGGTATAAATCGACAGAGGGTTAGATCCTCAGCTGGTGTCAATCAGCATCGCTTCAAAAGACAGGAGTTAGATCTAAAATTCTAATATGGAAATAGTCTTAAGGAAAACCTGATGTGCAAGAGAGTGGGTCAGACGTAACCAAGAATTATAGCATGGCAAACACAGGCAAAGCTACTGAATGCCTTAAACAATGTTTCTTTCCTGTAACTAAAGTGAGAAACCCCTTGCAGGAATTTCCATACTAACCAATTCAGGCATGTAGAATTTAACAGAATATTTAATTTGCTGTTTTCTCGCCAGTAATCTTTATGATGAACATTGCTTTGACGTTACAGGTATTAACTCAACTGTCAGCATTCCAACCGTTTGGGTTTTATTATTTTTAATAGCATCAGTTTTCATTAAGATCACTGCGAAAAGCAGACCAGAAGATTTTGTGCCTGAGCAATTCTCCCTGATGCCTTTGCAAAGCTGTCATGGCAATTGCGACCCAGTTCACAGGTGGGGATAAGAGGACCTGAGCCAGTGCCCACTGAAATCCATTGAATGTTCCCCCCACGTTGATTTAATGGGCTTTGGATTGGGCCCATAGGGCCAAACGCTGCTTTCACTTACGCTGATGCAATTGCACCTGGGTAACAGAGCAGAAAACGGTCCATGTAATCCGGGCCTGTCATTACTAGTCTTTAATTCTGCAAATGGTCAGTAGAACAGACAAAGGTATTTATTGCCTAGTTGCTGATCTGACAGTGAAGGGATCAGGAAGGAACCACGCTATAAAAACTGGCCTTGCCCAGCCTAGGGCAGTATAGGCACTGAAAGGGACCCAGACCAAAAGCAACCTAATGGCCCAATTCTTCTCCTATTGAAATCAATGACATAACTCCCATTGCCTTTAATAATCTTTAATACTTGACAAAGCTATTCTAATCTCTAGAGAAAAGGTGACCTTTACCTAGTGTAACAACTGGTTTTAAAGCTAACTGCAGAACAGGGGACGTACTTTTCAACATCTAAGAGCCCTTTGTCTGGTGATTAGGTTGCTCAATGTTTAAAACAGAGGCATTCCGCTCCAGCGACTTCAGTTCAAATGCTGTTTTAGATCAGCTCATCAGTGAAAATGAGTCACGTGGTTTCATCCGAGTCCTCAGTGGACATCTGCCCAGCTCCTAAAACAACCACCCATTTTGGCACAATTGAGCACGATTGGCAAACTCATGAGAGGCCCAGGACTGAAATAGCAAGGGGTGCTCAGGTCAGGAGTGAGCTGCAGCATTGTGGGGGGGCCCAGGATAAGAATAGCAAGGGTTGCTACAGGTCAGGATAGAAATGAATTGCTTGAAGGTGTCATAAGGGTTTAAAAGGCCACTCCCCTCCCCGCTGCACCTCCCAACACGGAGGGCAGGAATCTGCTCCTGTAGGTATGCGTTTGTAGTGAGGGGAGGACGATCGCTGGCAAAGACTGACTTGCAAGCTGCAGGAGAGGGTCACCTTCCTCAGCAGCCAAACAAAGTAATTCACCCATTCAGGTTTTTATTTGCTAGTCTTAAATATCATGTATCCTACCAAAAATACCCTTTGCTACCAACAGGTGTCAGCAAAGAGTATGCAGTGTATGCAGATTTTCAGCATGGTTAAAACCGTGTATAGTAGAACCTCCGAGCTACGAACACCTTGGGAACGGAGATTGTTCGAAACGCTGAAACGGTCGTAACTCTAAACAAAACGTCACGGCGGTTCTTTCCAAAGTTTACAACTGAACATTGACTTCATACAGCTTTGAAACTTTACAGAAGAAAAATGCTGCTTTTAATCACCTTCATTCAAATGAAACAAGCATAGAAACAGTTTCCTTACCTTGTCAAATCTTTTTTTAAACGTCCCCTGTATTATTTTAGTAGTTTCTGTTTAACGCAATACCTCACTGTATTGGCTTTTTTTTTTTGGTCTCTGCGGCTTCCTGATTGTGTACTTCCGGTTCCGAACGAGGTGTGTGGTTGATTGGTCAGTTTGTAATTCTGGTCTCGTAACTGTGAGGTTTTACTGTAATGCATAGGTTCGGGAGTGTGCTCTGTGCTGACACCTGTTGTTAACGATGATTCTTTCTGTAGTGGAGGCAAGCGTGCAGGGTGCCGAGTTATAAGCAAAGAAACAAATGAGAAAAACCCACTTTGGGTCCTACGCCAGCTTTTTGGCAACTGCGGGGTGAGTGAGTTCTACCTCTCTCTTTTGATGGTAGCTGTTTTAGTAGGGCTCATTTTATAGATGCTAACAGCACCCTCACACAGCAGGTGCGTATGAATGGCAACTTTCTCCATCTCATCCCAGTGTCTCCCTCTGTTTGATCATGCAGCAGAGTCAGAATCCATCAGTATTTAGCACATCTCAGCCTGATGGCTGCAGAAATGACTGATGGGCAGGGATGGTGTCCCTAGCCTCTGTTTGCCAGAAGCTGGGAATGGGCGACAGGGGATGGATCACTTGATGATTACCTGTTCTGTTCATTCCCTCTGGGACACCTGGCACTGGCCACTGTTGGAAGACAGGATACTGGGCCAGATGGACCTTTGGTCTGACCCAGTAGGGCCATTCTTATGTTCTTAAACTCAGTACTATGACGTTGCTGCTCCACTATGTGGACTAGATGCAATGGGGGGAAGAACATGCCCTTATGAGCATGTGAACAGAATTTATCCTCAGCAACAAGTGCCAAGCAAAATTATAGAAAACATCCAAGACAAAACACATCCAAGTTTAAATCTGACGTTGTTGAAAGTTTTCTCCAGTGCAAATATCCTTTAAAGTATTAAAACAACCCCATAGTGTCCTAATCTTATCTTTTCTGTTCTAGTCTATATAGGTTCTTATACCACGCTCAACACCGGGGCATTTGAGCACCTTCCAGCAGGGCATTAAGTAATCTGACTGACATCTGTCACGTTTGTTCTCTCTTTCTCTCCCCAGGGGGAGATGTATGTACAGTGGAGTGTCTTGTTTTGGATTATTTTTTAATGTTGCTATATGTTTAAATTAGAGAAGGCAGATCAAAGACATGCCCCTGGCACATGGAGTGGGGAAGGTGATGGTTTTTAGTTCCTGGGGGATTTTATTCAAGTCTTGGACCAGCCCCAAAGAAAGTTCTGTCTCCCACACAGATGGGGTTTACCCTTATTGTAGATAGTTCCGTTGTGCCAGAGAAGTGAAGCTCTCACCCACAGTCTTCAGCCTGGAGTCCTTTTCCAGTCTTCTGGAATGTCTCCCATCTTCCATGATTTTTCAAAGATAATTGCTAATGGCTCAGATATCTCCTCAGTCACCTTGAGTAATTACTTGGTCTATCCATGGTATTTTCAGAATTCTTCTATAGCATGATAGCTCGAAGGATTGTAATGTCTGTATTATCGACTGTGTGAATGTCCATGTTTCACAGCTGTAATTCAACACAGAGAAAATGTACATTTTTAAGAGTCTGATTCAGATTTATTAGGGTTACCATATTTTAAAAAAACAAAAAGCGGACACTCCACGGAGCCCCGCCCCTGCCCCAACTCCGCACCCTTCCCCGCCCCCAGCCCCAACTTCGCCCCTTTCCCACGCTGGCCCCACCCCAACTCCGCCTCCTCCCCTGAACGCCCCGCCCCCTGCTCCTCCCCGTCCCCTGCTTCCCGCGAATCAAATGTTCGCGGGAAGCCTGAAACAGGCAGGCAGCAGGTAAGCTGGGGCTGGGGCGGTGGCGGGGTGTGTGTGTGTGTGTGCGAGGAGGCGCGGCCCAGTCCGGCCCCCCTGGCTGAGTGTCTCTGGCCCCGGCGTCTCCGGCCCAGCTCGGGCCCTGGGGCACCGGCCCCAGTTCCGGCCGAGCGCGCCGGCCCCGGCAGCTCCAGCTCTGCTTGGGTCCCGGGGCACCAGGCCCCGGCCGAGTGGCGCTGGCAGGCGGCTGAGCAGCCCAAGCCCTGGTCCCAGCAACTCCGGACCGGCTCGGCTCGGGCCCCGGCCCCGGCCGGCGGCCGAGCACCCCCAGCCCCGGTCCCAGCAGCTCTGGCTTGGCTCGGCTCGCGCCCTGGTTCCGGCCAAGCAGCTCCGGCCCAGCCCCAGCACTGGGCAAGCAGCGCTGGCCAGCGGCTGAGCACCCCCAGCCCCAGTCCCAGCGGCTCCGGCCCGGCTTGGCTCGGGCCCCAGTTCCAGCCGAGTGGCGCCGGCCCCAGCGGCTCCAGCCCGGATCCAAACCCCACGACCTCTCCCTATTTTCCCAGACATGTCCGGCTTTTTGGAATTTCCTCCCGGACGGGTATTTGAGGACCGAAAAGCCGGACATGTCCGGGAAAAGCCGGACGTATGGTAACCCTAGATTTATGCACCATCTCATCAGACGTTTATGCTTCCAGAATGTCTCTTTCGCTCTTGCTATTCCAGAGCTGGCTTCAGGATCCCGACCTGCCATGGGGATGCGCCCTAAGCAGCACTAATTTCTCATTACTGACCCGCTGGGTCGTTCCCTGTGATCTTTTGTGGTTTCCCAGGATCCTTACAAACCAATTCTAGACCCTGTTCTGCCATTCATAATCTTCCCCATTAACTTCATCACACCTTCTTCTGAGCCAGCCTCATCCGCCACTCCCAATATGGCCGCCTGTTGGCGCTATTTCTCCTGAGCCTCTCCCAATATGGCCTCCCATCGCGCCCCTCTGGCCTCAGCCACGCCCATTGGCACCATCTCGCCTCTCCACTCCCAATATGGCCTCCCATTGGCTCCTTCTGACCTCAGCCACGCCCATTGGCACCATCTCGCCGCCTCCCTCCCAATGTTGCCTCCCATTGGCCCCTTCTGGCCTCAGTCACTCCCAATCTGGCTTCCCATTGGCTCCATCTCACCTCAGCGGCTCTGCCACGCCCAATGTGCCCTTCAATTATCTCCGTACTTAGCCACTCCCAGTATGGCCGCCCCGTCGCTGCTCTGTGGTCTTTAGGGAAAGTAGCGTCCTTTCCTCTTCCGTCGCGGTGGCCTGTGGGATAGCGGCGGCCCGTGTCGCGGTTGTTGTCAGCGCCCAAGATGGCGGCGGCCGTAGTCGGTGTCTCCTTGAAACGCAGCGTCCCCGGGGTGACCCTCTGGGCGGCCGCGCGACAGGTGAGCGGGGGGGGCGGTTACATCAGTGAGCGGGTCGGGGGCTGGGCCCGCGGGGGGGGGCTTTGGGGAGGAGGGGGGAGCTGCCGGGGGGGGCTGTGGAGGGAAAGGGGGCGGGGGGGGGGTCTCTGAGTGGAGCAGGCCGGGGCGGGGCCCCCCTGGGCGGAGGGAATCCAGAGGTAAAGAGTCTCCTGGTGGTGTCCCGCTGGTCTCCTCCCAGCACCCTGCCCCCATCGCCCCACGAGGGCGCTAGCGGGTCGGGGGGCGCCGGGTCCGCGATCGGTCCCCTGGGGGCGGGGCTGGCGATTTGGCGGGGGGGGGCGCCAGCTCCCCCCTCATTGCCACTGATTTAGCGTCTGATCTTGGGCAAACCATTTTCCCTTTCAGTGCCTCAGTTTCTCTCTCTGTGAAATAGGGGTGGGGGTTATGAGGCTGGATAGATTTTGGGGCCACTAGGGACACTTCGGTGTCTTCAAGTGACTTTGGTGACAGCTGTTCTGTTTGGCTTAAAATGATTTTTTTGAGAGGCACGTGAATCATTTTGAAAGTCATCTAGACTGGTCATGGTCCTCCCTACCTATTTATCCCAAAACATATGAGTAAGTAATGGAAATCTAGATAGGCTACACCCTGTAGACTTTATATGTGGCGTTTACGCTAGCCAAAATTGGATCTGCAATTCTCCACTGATGTTAGCAGTGTTTGAAACTGTAGCAGGTATGTGGGAAGGGGTAAGTATTATCTCTGTTTGTTTAATTATAAAATTCAAATGCTGAGGTTGACGCTTGTTGAAGGCAACACAGTAAGTCAGTGGTAGATTCTGGACTCCTGACTCCAGATACCTTGCTTTAATCACTAGGCAACAAAATAAATCTCTTCCCAACCCTACACCTGTTGTCTAGAGAAATACACGAAGGAATCTAAGGGGCTGTGTTGTCATTGTTTGAACGTAGGTCTGCCGTGGAGCACAGACAGCAGCTGCAGCAGCACCCGCTTCTCAAGCGGTAGCACCACGTATCAAGACATTTGCTATCTACAGATGGGATCCTGACAAGCCTGGGGACAAGCCGCACATGCAGACCTATGAAATTGATCTGAATAAGTGAGTATGCATGTAAAATTATAGGCATGCTGACCCCAGAGAGCTGCTCCACAGAGATGCCTTTTCGTCTGTCAGCTTTGGACTGGCGTAAATCATTTAAGGCTCTGGATGTGGATTTAATTTAGCCACTCTGTAGCTGTTAATTAAAGGTTGTAACCGCACTATTAGTTTTACATGATCATTCAAGCTATGTTAGGATGATCCGTTATTGCACAGACGTGTCTCAGTCATGTTATAACAAGGCTTGGTTTTGCCAGTGTAGATGGGACCAGATTGTGTTATCACCAGGTAAAGGAAGCCGGGTACAACCATGTCGTACAATTCCTTTAGCCTGATGATAACACAGGGCCAGAACATGACAAATAGAACTGTGTCTGGGGGAGTCCAACACAGCTGTCTCTTAAGATGATTAAAAGGATAGTTCAGTTTCAGAATGTACACGAGACCCTAAAATGTCCCCAAGCCACACAAGAAATACAAACACATCCAAGGCTTTAGCATGTTTTGGAATACATGATAAAGTTTCCATGTGCATTCCAAAGTGGAACCATGCTGCATGTGCAGCTGGTGCTGGTATATCGAGAGAAGGATCCAGCAGAAATTATGGAGGTTACATCAGCTCCTCTCAAAGTAAGCGTCTGTGCCTGCCGGTTATCACTTGGGTTTGCAGCTTGGGGTCGTATTAGAGATGCTCAAGTGGCAGCTGTGGCCAAGAGCACTTTTCCCCTCTGCAGTTAGCAAGAAGTGTGCAACGTTTTCTCTGGGATGTAGGAAGGAACCTTGGTACAAACACGTGTGCCTCTGTTTCCTCAGGATCCATTGCTTGCTACTTGGGGTCGATCTTAAGTCTATTCTGAAATTTTAAACTAATGCAGAATGTAGCCACGTGCTTATTAAAAAACAACTTGCAGAGAGAGCCGACTGTATTGCTGCTCTGTACTCAGCACTGGCTTCTGACTAGTTTCTGGGTGGAGTTTTGTTTCTTACATAAACCTATTACAGAAATCTATTACATAAACCTTGAATGATTTTGAGACCTGGCTTTCCTTATGTATTATCGCCTCATTTATGATTAATTGAGTACACTCAAAACTCATAATACCTTGATTTAAAGGGGAGGAGCCTTGTAGCAAGATATTTACAATGAAAGCCTCCCCACTGTCCAACCCAGCCAGAGTTATTGATCTTTGGGGCACAGTGCAAAACTCATCTGGGTTTTTTGTGGGCTTTTTTCCCCCTCAGGAATTTTGGTGAGGGTGTGAATTAAGGCACATGGGGTAATATCTGAGTTTTATTTGATTGGGTGATCTATATTTTGTCACTTGGGATTGGCTTAGATGGTCAAGCTATTGTATTTAGAATTTTTATCATTCATATAATTTGATAGGCACTTCCTAATAGAACTATGAAGAACAAAAATTCCAGTTTTTGTAAGATCTGTGTTCTGTAGCAACAGGCATATAGGCCCATAGCTGGGGGGTGCAGATACTGCTCCTCAAATAAGGAAATGAATCACTTTAGAATTTCAGCAGGAGCAAAGAGGGGAGTTGTTGTAAACAAGGTCAGACAGTAACTTTATTTCCAGAATCTAAGAGGGTTTCACAAATGCGTGAGAAGTGTGGAAAGGAAATAGTTGGCCTGTGGGGAATATGCAGGCTTATTAAAGTGACCGTTTTCCATTATAGGTGTGGGTCTATGGTACTTGATGCTCTGATCAAGATAAAAAATGAGATGGACTCCACTCTGACCTTCCGCAGATCATGTAGGGAAGGTGAGGTGCTCTTTTTTTTTAAGTTAATTAATTAATCTGTTATTCTGAGGATCATTTGACACACTGAGTTCTGAGAAGATACTCATCTAAACCAAAGTGGATGATAGGATATTCACTCTCATGACCAGCAGAACATCTCAGGATAGACCTTAGTATATTATATTGCCTCTGATGCTATTAAGTACAGGGCACTTGACATCTGTCAGGTTCAAGTGCTAGGCTCATTCACAGATCACAGTTATCAAATAACTTTGTTTCAATCTCAGTACATCAGTCAAAATTATTGCTCCTGAGTTTTGTTTTGTTTGCTGGGAATGATTGAAGGATTTTTCAGTCCGTTTCCCCTTGACCAGGTTAAATGATTAGTGTTGGGGGGGAATCAACCTTGGTGATTATAAAAGCCACTTCTATTGTGTACCTTTGTGTGTGCTAGAATGCAGGAGGGTAATTGGCTGAGAATTGTTTCTGGTTTTGCAAATATTTTATATACTAAAGGCAGGCAGGGACCACTGTGTTCATCTAGCCTGACCTCTTACAGAATACAAGCCATAGGACTTCCCTGAATTAATTCTTGTTAGAATTAGAGCAGATCTTTTAGAAAAACATCCAATCCTGATTTTTAAAATGTCCAGTAATGGAAAATCCATCATAATCCTTGGTAAATTGTTCCAGTGGCTAGTTGCCCTCGCTGTTCCATATTTGCAGATTATTTCTAGTCTGAATTGTCTAGCTTCAACTTCCAACCATTGTATCTTGTTATGCCTGTGTCTTCTAGATTGAAGAGCCATCCCTCTAATATCAAATTTCTGTTCCCCATGTAGATAATTGCAGACTTTAATCAAGTCATCCCTTAATCTACTCTTTGATAAATTAAGTAGATAGAAGTCTTTGAGTCTCACTATAAGGCTTTTTCCCCCCCAATCTTTCAGTCATTTTTGCGGCTCTTCTCTGAACCCTCTCCAATTTTTCAATGATCTTCTTGAAATGTGGACACCAGCACTGGACAGAGTATTCCAGTAGCAGTCACACCAGTGTAAAATACAGGGGTGATATAACCTCTCTACTTGTAGTTTTAATATTCTCCTGTTTATACATCCAAGGATTACAGTAGCCCTTTTAGTCACAGTGTCGCACTAGGAGATCATGTGCAGCTGATTATCCATCATGACCTCCTAGTCTTTTTCAAAGTCCCTGCTTCCCAGAGTAGCCCTTTATCCTTTAAATGTGGCCTAGAGATTCTTGGTTCTTAGGTCCTTGATCTGGCAGTATTGAAACACACACGTTGTTCTCCTGCGCCCAGTTTACCAAGTGATGCAGATCGCTCGATATCATTTACCTATTCTTGTCATTATTTATCATTCCACCAATCTTTGTGTAATCTACAAACTTTATTGGTTATCTCTTTTTCTTCCTGGTCTTTGATAAAAATATTGAATAGTAGTGGGCCAAGAGACAGTCTCCTGTGGGACCCACTAGAAACACTCCCAGTCAATGGTGATTTCCTATTCACAATTACTTTTTGAGACCTATCAGCTATCCAGTTTTTAATCCATTTAATGTGTGCCATGTTGATTTTGTAGCTTGTCTGCTATCCAGCTTAGCTTCTCTTGCTCAGTCCCAAGGTGAGACGATAATTCTGTTGATAGTGTCAGTGTGTTGACTTGGGAACAGTTGCCCTATGATGGCACGGGACAGAAAGGTGGGTTGAAAGGGGCAGAGTCCTCATTTTTAATTCATTATACAAGGTTGCAAATAAAAACCAGAAACACGGAAGGGGAATAGACTTCTGTTTAGTCTCAAGTACTAGAATCTTTTCCCCAGAACTGTCTGAAAGACATCGTGTTTTAAATGTTGTTGCCCATTATTGACTCTGGATATCACAAGGAGGAATTTCACACTGTGCAGTTGCTTTCAGAATCTGGTATTGAGGAAACAAATACCTGAGAAGTGGTGCTTACTCTCAGTTCAGTTCCCTATGCATTTGGAAATAGTTGCTTTGAATACTTTTCTTTAAAA